CCGTAACTACTAAACCGATTGCTTTGAAATTTTTCAGACGTAAAGTTAGAAGTCTGGATTAAATAATAGGGGTACTTTTTATCCCGGAAAAAATGATATTCTCAAGGGAAAACGAAATTATTGGTATAGATGGCGCTGTGTGTATTGGTATATGTCACATGGCTACTTTTTATCCTTTTGTGACGCGAGTGAAGCCGCGGGTAAAAGCTAATAGAATAGAATAGAATAGAATAATTTATTTGCATTGAATGTAGGTACATAATATAAGGTGTTACAAAGGTACATCGTTCCTGGTACATTCTACCATACGGCATGCAAATTTTTTTTTTTTTTTTAATCTTAAAATCTATGAACATTGTGGATTATAATACCTACTATGTAAGTTATCTATAAAACTATTATAATTATTAATGGATAACATAATCCTAATAATATTTGAAAATTAAATTTACAAAATTCACAAAATATAGCTTAAACAACTTACAGTAAATCAGTCTATATGTTATCGAATAAAAAATCTGACACAGAATAGTAACACTTTTGTAATAACAAAGATGCAAGTTGTTTTTTAAAGATCCTCAATGGTTGCTCCTTAATGCTACTCGGAATCTTGTTATAAATGATAGGTGCCATACCTAGGACACTTTTTTTTAATAAAGATGTTTTGTAACCACCGGTACATAGCTTGTCTTTATATTGAGACCTTATAGTTGTATTCCGGTTAGTTGTATCCTTTAAAGTAGGGAATAATTTGATGTTACTTTTGACAAAAATAGAAAGTTCTAATATGTAAATACAAGGAAAAGTTAATAGTTTACTATTTACAAAGTAAGTTTTGCAGCTGTCTGTAACATTTAGTTTAAACATAGCTCTTAAACAGCGTTTTTGGGCTTTAAAAATATTTTCCCGCTCACAACAATTGCCCCAGAATTTAACACCAAATCTCAGATTTGACACTACCAAGCCATGATAAGCGACTAGTATTTAATAACTCAAAAAACTGGTTACATCTAATAATATCTGATTTCATCCTCCAATTTGATTTTGCAGTTATTTTTTTAAGTTAATCTCCCATACCATACCTAACTTAGTGCTTCGTACGTGGTAATTGGGAATCGCGGAGGTCTATCGAAGTTGGTAGTTACCTCTCGAAGTAGTCACCTGAAGTGCAGAGTGCTAATTAAATTGATTGGGCCAACACGACCTAGCTTGCTGGGTTCATTCAACTTTGTTATAGAGCATTGGATTTGAATAGATCGTGTGACATACACAGCGGCTATTACCTTTTGTGTTATCAAAATATTTACACATTTATATATACCTAGTAAATCCCACTCCTCTGTCTTCCTTGCTGTAGTGACTATAAAATCTGAGATGTTGCGATTTTATCGTCTTTCATAGATTCTCTGTACATTTCTTAAAAGATAATCTTGTTCTTTATAAAACTTGCAAAGGAAAGGCAAACCAGTTTAATCCATTTAAATAACTGAACCTAGCAACGGTTAACAAAGAAAATTCTAACAGTTCCCTCCGGGGAGAACTACGAACTACAAATTAAATAACTCAAGCTAACCCTAGTATAATTTTACTTCTACTTTTATTTCAGATATTTTCTTAAACGTAGTTCAATATAAGTGTTTTCATGACTAAAGAAATTATATCACTTACACAGGCTAATATGTTTTAGACCTGCAGCCACGTAAGGCGAGTAATACCGATATTTTCGGATAGGTACCGTTTGCACTGACCTCAATCCGATACCAATATTTATATCGGTACAAATACCGGTACACTTCCATTATTTAACAGTGCAAGTGAAAAAAAAACAGATTATGTATCGTTGTAGCGAATTATCCAGATCATGCGTCACGTGTGCATTTCAGTTGTTGGATCATCGCGAATCTTCTTAGAGAATCTAATCTTAGTTAGTAGTCAACAGCCTATTAGATTTATTTTAGTTGGGATTTAATCCCGTTCAATAAGGTGTGAGTGGTCCATGCCACTAAACTTCGGTACTTAGGAATAAAAAAAATACTAAATATATTTCCTGACCCAGGGAATTGCACTATATGCTTAAGTAGCGAAGCAGTTTCCTTTGTTGAGCAGTAATATCAGAATCAGCATAGGCATTTGCAAATGTTTGTCAAGTTCCTACGTCCCTTATTGAAATGGTATTTGTCAATCCCTATTTGTTACGGATATAGTTAGGAGTATTGCTTCCGTTCCTCTTGCCTTATGAAAGACGCACAGCTGAGAATGTTAAAAGGGCTTGTGTGTGGTTCGCAAATGTATAGAATTTATAATTCGAATGCAGGAAGTGTGAAAGTGGCGCCAGTTATTGAAATACTAGGAATGGTATAGAATAGAACTGACGCAGAAGAATACTATTATATCATCTTCGTGATTTCAAAAGTAAGACTTGATGTTACTTGCATCTATCTAAAATGTTCATTCAATTGCGAATATTTTGATAATCATGTCTTACAAAGAAATCTCTATGTGTAATGGGCATGTATCTTCATAACTCCATTACGGATCAGTGTCAAAGTAAACATTGATCACCAATTTTTGCCTATACGAAAGCTACTTCTCATTCTGGTTTTGCAGCCAAAAGCAAACTGCTAAAGGTACTCGAACGATCACTGAAACAACTTAAGAAAATAATTGTTCTTTATTCATATTGTATTGGCAAATAAATGTCCAAAAAACTTTTAAATCTACTGTCTCGTACGTACCGGGTGTCAAATCATAACCAATGCAGAAAGTAATATTTTGCAGCAACTCGTAAAACTGTGGCCATGCTTCCGTTCCTAATATTTTGTTGACTCGCATTTGTATGCGGTGCCTGACGCTTCCTTCGAGGGACGCGTCGCGAATTTATTCACTTCGTGACGTTTTGTCTTTGCTAAATGTCCTACCTATGTTAGAAACGATAGTTTGTAAAGGTCAGCGACTGAACCTTCGCTCATAGTGTATTCTTTAGTCATATCAAATTTATGGCCTGTCGTCTTGTCTAGACTGTGTGCTCTACACATTGTCTATCGTCTTACAAGTGTTGCGGAGAACCTAACGGGTTACCGGCTCCGGCTCGAAGCGCAAGAGTAGGAACGGGGTGGTTTTTAGTCAGTAAGAGCCTGACACTCCCTCCCGCCTCACCCAGGCGGGAGCAGTTATTCGATGATGTTCCCCCCTTCAAAAAAATCGCCTTACAAGTGGTATACTACATTTGCCTTTACTTTTCTAGTAGACTAATTTCAAATTCCTAATGCGTTGTATAAATAGTAGAATTAAAGTAAATAGAATTGTACTGCATTCAATACAAAAACGGAGAACCTCCTCACATTCAACAATATCTTGTAAAACTCAAGTCATTGAACACCTACAATATTGTTCAAAGGTAAAAGAAAAGCGAGACCTTTTAACTTAAATTGCTTAAGGTCGTGAAGTTCAATACACAATGAGCCAACGCCGACATCGCTTACAATTGTCTACGACCACAAGTCCGTTTCTAATTAAGATAAGCGGCTAACTCCCAAGAACTCAGATCTTATTTTCTTCCTAAGATATTAACAACAACTACTACACCACCTACCCGATAAACCCATCCACTTAATTGTGATAAAATTAACACTCGTAAACCAACGCTTTTGGTTTACCTTTCCATTGCTTTTACAGTTCTTAATGTAGCTAACGCTTAAGAAAATCCTATTTGTAATTTCTAAAACATTTTTTTAAGTTGTGGTGGCCCGGAGGTTTAAGACGCCCACTTCTCATGCATGAGGGTGCGGGTTCGAAACCTACCAACGGCAAGTACCAATGGGACTTTTTCCGAGTTCTATGTACTTTCTAAGATTATTTAGACACCACTGACAAACGGTGAAGGAAAAACATCGTGAGGAAACCTGGACTTATAATTTCTAATTATAAGTTTGAAATCGCCAACCCGCATTGAGCAAGCGTGGTGATTAACGCTCTAACCTTCTACGTGTGAGAAGAGGCTTTGCTCAGCAGTGGGCATTAATAGGCTGTTGATGGAAAACATTTTGGTTCTATCTAAATAGTCATGCTCCTAATCTCAATTTCAATAACAGAGCAAAACCTCTCTTACCATTTGTAATTAATTATACCAAATCCTACGCAATTACTTAGCTGGATTCAATACTCGAGTTCATACATCTGTAAAGGTCAGCCCATTCCAAGTGGTTGATTGTTCAAACGACTGTGTCCTTCTGAATGTACGGATAAATCTAAGTCTGCCTTGGAGTTATTGATTGGGAGTATAGGGAGCAATGTCACGTGGATGCTGCATCTGACGGCCGTACGCGTAACATACAGTTTGGTAGTGAGGGGTAGAAACTTCGAGTGAACTAAAACAAATTAGGATTTTTCTAGTTTCCTAGTCTGAAGAATTATGCGTGATTGGATATCGAGGTTAAATTACTAACTACGGCAGATAAAGTTATGTAAGCAATTATGACTACCGTGGAAAGCATTAAGAGATTACAAAAACCCACAATGAAACGTTTTTCCTGCAAAAAGCTAATAAAAGGTAGTGCTGCTAAATGGACAATGGAACTTGTTGTTTAATATGCGAACAACATATGACCCAGAGGAGTGATAGAACATATCCGGATGTCTACATTGACGTGATAACAAAGTGAGTTTAATGAAAGCGCCCGGTAACAGCCCTCTAAGCGAAACAACGCCCACCCCGACTTCATACCCCCATTCAAGTTCACTGCGACCGCGCCTCATCCCTAGTTTTTCCCCAGAATTTACTGCTACACTAATTTCCACTTTTTTGCATTCGCCAAAAGCGCGATTATTGTACAACTACTGAAACTTCTTGCGGCCTTTCAAAAGTGAACGCTCCGTATTTGTTGAGTAAAAACGGTATGTTCGAATTACAGCCTTATGCCGCTCATTTGAAGATTGGTAATGGTTTGACAGGCGCGCGCACTTACGCAGCCTCCCCTAGGGTTGGCACGGTCGATCCTTGCAGTCGCGTCGCCGGCGTGGTCCGGACATGTCCCGGCGCAGAACATTTTTATTTTCATAATCAAACAACAGTAACAAAACAATCCACTCTTTCCTTCCTAGCGCAAGGAAAAATGTTGGATTGCGATATACTTAGTGAAAAATTATTTCGCGTTTTTAACTCGCGCAGTTAATTTCGTTGAGAAGCAATTTTTTTTGTATATTTTTCGCGGTGGTGATGAAAACTTGATTACGTAGTGGTTTTAAACTGTCGTGGAAGTGATAACGAAGGATGTGACGTGTTAAGTGCTGAAGAAGATATAATAAATGAGAGTGACGTCGGTGGTGTTCGCGAATTTTCTGCAATTTATTCGAGCTTAGTTTAACAGGCTTAGTAATTAGGGAAACAGTATTATTTTTTGATTGAGGAGCCTTTTACAAAGAGGTATTGTTTGGTGATTTTCATGTATTGGATATCGTCCTGTGTCTGCTTGTAGTTAGGAACGCATTATGTGACAATGCTTTTGTCTTTGTGGGACAAATACGCTTCGGTACTGCAAATGACAACAATAGTTGCAGGATGATAATAATTTGATGCACCAGATTGATTATGAACAATTCAATTGGCCTAGAACCGAACACAGTAAATTCACTTGAAATCCTGTTATGAAACGCTTGCAGTGGAACGTTTTCTAAATAGAAACACAAAATAAAGTCCAATTGCACCGTGAACAGACCGAGGTTTAACCGTTAAACTCGGATAAATGGTATCAGTAATAGATTTAACTATGAAAGTTTGCGTTATAAATCGCTGACGTAATCGCTGTCTAATAGCATTGTCAAGATATGACGTCATCAGGTTTAATTTGGTAAACAGACGATGAACAGTGAATGGTACAGCACACAGCACGGTCAATGCCTAGTTTTGGAATTGTCAAATATTTGTTTTAGACATGCACTGAGGCTATATAAAAAGTCTTGTTTACTTAACAACGGTAAGAACTTGAAAACACGCGGTTTGGTGTGAATTAATGTTATTTAACAAAAATCTTCAGTAAATAGTCAAATTCACAAATATTTTTGTAAATCTTAGTCATGTAGTTGAATCACTAGTATGACTTAATGCAAAAGAAATGAGCAAGAATACACTGTTACGACGTTCATTTGCTTCAACGTAAACATATTCGAACATATGAATGGTGTTACTATCTAACCAGATTATCTGATAAGTCTACTAGTACCAGTGGGTAGTTATGTAACTTCTTGCACGATGCAACCGGCACCGAACACTTGAGTCGGTTTCACCAAGTTAAATTAGCAAAATTTATGCTTCTTTTCAATTCCTGCCACTATATAGGTGCATGTATTACCACGCCCTAGTCACGTACTGATAAAATTAATACGTAGCCCCCACAAAATCTGTCATCAGATGCAAAATTTATTAGCTACAAGGGTTCTGTAGGTGTCAGTACTAATTAAAATGTGTAGGATGATGCTAGGTCTAAGGCATACCTTCACTTATATCTGAATCATAGAAATAACAGAAATTCTTAAATGCATGAGCAGTTTTGCTCGATAAACAAACACATTTCGTTCGACTGTTAACCATATTTAACTTGCACTGTGGCTACACTAAAAGCAAATGGAACTGTAGCGTTGAACGTCGAAACAGAATTATTTATTTTTACTGTGTATTTTTTGCAGCGGTTGGAAACCAAATAATTGGATTGCCAAATAGAAATCAGCGTTTTCATTTTATTGTCTCTCAGCCCATAAACGCTACAACAAATGAAACATTGTACACCAGTCTAAGCCTACCCTTTCCCTAACCAATAAATATCTAATGTCGGATATAAAAACAAGCTTGTTGAACGTAGCGACTTCAGGTTTGTCAATACGAAACTGTTTACCGACGCAATGCGCAAGTCTGCCGGCGACCCTGGCTCCAAGCCAGAATATCAGCTGATTTGGACTCTGTTGGCTCGATGGAATTTTAATTTCCATTGTGGTTTTGGATAGGAGTTATTACAGTGGTAAGGCATAGAGATATTGACTAAAATTTAATAACGTTCGAGTATTATTTCGGATTATATCACCTAATTCATTCTCGTCGATAACCAATGGAATGCTAATGTTCAACTGTGCGTAGAATGACTAATAATGTTGTAGTTCTATCTGTACAAATTATTTAGGCTATCGGATATTTTATTTTACCCATACTAAATTTCATTACAAACGATTTCTGGGTTACGTTCAACGACAAATTGATTTCTTTGGTAATGTTGTTATTTTAATGAACACTTTTTTATGTTGTCATCTTTCAAAAAAAGCTTCATCAATATCAAAATTGAAACGATTAATACATCCTGAAATGCCTTTATAAAGTTACAAATGCAAACTAGTATTTCCTCCATAAATCGTTTTCCCCCTATGTTTAAAACTGTGATCGTCTGTCCGCAGTTTTTACTACAGTCGCGGTAATACTTCACGTTTAATAGCCATTAGTTCATCGCCCCTTGCAGGGCGCGCCGTGCCTTGTCGTAATTAAAAGTGCCTAATGTCATTATGATCGTCCCTTAGTGCGACAAGTTTCTTTTTGTTGCTGCAAGAAAAAGGATACCTTTTACTTTAAAACATTTTTATAAAACCTTTTAAAGCTTTTAAGATTTTGATGGAGGTTTCTTTAACTATTTTTCGCAAAGGAATATCAAATTTGGCAATGGTTTTAGAGTCGGCTGCAAAAGAGTATTAGTTTAACTAACCAGAAAACTATACGACTACGCTATAAAGGATTTCGTGCCAAAAATTGTTAGATTAGATTTTCGCACAAATTGCTGAAGCTCAAAGATAAACCAGATATGATAAATGGGGTGTTTAATTTCAGATTATCTGCTAAGTAAACTTTGATCGAAACTGTAGTTAGCTTAATTTCCGAATCAGATAAAGCGAAGTCATTGCTACTGGGAATTATAATAGAAATCAATTACAGAAGAATAAAAGATTTAAATACTTTAATAATTCTTTTAGTTTTACATTTCAACGTAGCTTTTATTAATGCTGATGAAATATCCGCGAATGAGATTTTTATCATTAGATAAATCACTTAATGGCAGAGCTTTACAGCGCACTATCATTAAGACTTTCCAACATTTATCTTATACATATTTTTTGAACAGACACCACATTTTACTTTGCTTAAATTGAAGACAGAATTGAAAATACTTTCTTATTTCAAAGACAGGTATCACATAATACCTACGTATCACATGGTGAATGTTTACCAATAGTTGTAAGATTCAGACCGTGGCGGTGTCGCGCAACCTCGATACGCGATCCACTTCGCACTTGTACAATCGTCTTGCTTATGGTAATGAGATCCAATTTAAATAGGAAGTTATAGATTGTGGACTACTTAAGAAAAATACCAAAATTATGCTTTTGTCCACGTAAGACTTTTTAGGAATTCTGCTGAAAGGCAATTTATTACCTTAATTGCTTAGTAAAATTAAGATGACAATAATGTTGTCAAAGTACGTAATTATTCCAATTAAGCAGATTTTAACACTATAGATAATTTCAAGAAACATGATATGGAAGATAGAGATTGAATATAGCAAGCAATAAAGACAATAATCTTCCAACCAATGCATCTTAGTTTTCGCAATGAAGTCCTTAGTTGGGCCGATGACATACATTCTTACTCTATTAATGCACGAATTCATGAACATAAATTATAGTTAACAAGTGACTGGACTCCTTCATTGGTTTTGATCATACGATTCATTTTCATAAACCGAATCATGAATAAAATTTTCTATTGATTTCTATCTCAGTTGCTTGTATAAAGGTACTAAACCTTTGTGCGAAGCGATCTAAATGCAAAAAGAAAATAATACATTATTTTCCTCGTTTCAATTTTGTACTGTAGGTGTTTTGCCTTTGAAATTATTTAGTTTCCTAAAAAGGACACCATTACAAAAATACAGCAACTGTTTAGAATGGCTGAGTCCAACCTTAATGATTATCATTTACTTGCACAGACATCATCAAGTATTTGGATAGAAGAAAGAAAGAAGTTCAGGTCAACAATTGTTGCCTACTTCCTGAACTTCTTGGAAAAATGAAAAGAGGAAATCGAGTTCTCTTATTTCCTCTATATCATTCGCACAAAATTCTACGTCATCTTACGTTTTAATTTCATGTGACTACATACTGTTAACTAACTCAGAGATCATGTCATCACAGAGAAATTCTCTATTACAATGTAAATCAATCTTAGTTAATGAAATCACTTGTCTAATAGCGATCGCTGATTGAATAGCAATAGCACTTGCTTTAATTTGTGTGCGTCGATTTCTCAACTTACCTCATATTACGTGACATATTATTTTAACACAGATACTCAGGATTGATTGCTCCCATTTTCATATTGAAGGCAATTAGTGCTATATTATGAAGAACATTTTTGTTTTATAAAAGTATGATCTACAAAGTTAGTTGAAATTTATTAGCAAGCAGGATGGAAGAGTTACATTACATTCCTCTCGTCCATAGTAATAATATCATACAAGTTGTCAATATTCCTAGTTCCAAGTAACCCTCTCAAGTCTAACTTCTGTTTCTATTTCGATTTAACACTGTACAGATGCACTGGTAAACGAACCCGTGCGTTAAGTAAACATAATTATATCGGCTGAAACAATATCCCACCATATCGGCTTGCGCATGCGGTTGCATGCACGCACGCTGCGTACGCGCCGCTCCGAGCTCAGTCTGCGGCACACGCGGCTATTGGGCGCACAACCGTCGCCATTATTTTCTACATTCGAATTTCGATGCGCGTTCGCGAATACGAAATTTTTAAAGTGTAGTTTTTATTTAAGTTTCTTTTTACATTCAAATGTGAACATGAAGTGACTAAAAGTGAATAAATCAATCAGTGTTATTTTTTTCGTTTACTTTTTGCAAATTCAAATTCAAATTCAAATTCATTTATTTGCAAGAATACATATTTACAAAGGAAGATCTTACAGCCTCAAAGTCATTGTATTCTGCCTGCGAGCAAGCGTGCAAAGTATAAAAATTTCAAATTAAATTCACCATAATAATTTTCATAATTACAATACAATATTTACGTTGATATCATAGTCATAGACATATTACATTTTAGTCGTAGATACATTACAGTCACACATTACAAGATAGTCGATTACAAGAAAAAAAAAAAAAAAATATAAGGTCGAATTGAAAACCTCCTCCTCCAAAATAATCAACACAATACAATAGTTATTAGATATTAACTATTCCATACATTTGTCATTTAAATATTCATTGATTGTGTAGTATACCTTCTGTATTAAAAATGCTTTGAGTTTGTATTTGAAAGAAGCTAATGTCTGAATGGATTTGATAGAATCTGGTAATTTATTGTAAATTTTTACACTC